TCTGATTTAGTGCATGAGCGTAGCTAACTTATGTTGCTATTTGTTATTGTTAGAATTGATTGACAGATCGTTTTAATAATTAGAACAGGGATAGAAGAGCCTTCGAGTAGTTTTTCACCGAATGCGTGTGTTGATTGCATGTATTATCGTAGACATACAGATAATACCTTAGGTAGCCGTTTACGAGACTTGTTATTTAATGCTTTATTTATACTAGGTTTGCATAGACATATAGTGAATCTTTTATGAATAATAGGTTTATAGCGCAGCGACAGCTGGTTATGAATAATTTCGTGTCTTGGGTTAATAATCGGGAATCGTAACTTGCATGATAGGAGATTAATCGGGTGAAGAATTATCGCATAGGGGGAAGATAAAATCCTAGATCCGTTTATTATTGATATTTTCTCGTGATTACTTGCTTTCTCAATTAGTTTAATTTATTTAGTTAATTAATTTGACAACCCTGCGTAGGCTGGATAAAAATCACAATTGTTAGGATTTGGTACTTAGGATTAAATAATTTGCGTATTCCCTGTGGGATCGACATCCGACTCTCACGAGTCTACTTTACTACTTGTTTGCGATACGTACACTTGCGTGTTGGTATTTAGCAGCCAACAGTCACCTTAAATACTTTAATTTAGCTCAACAAAATATATATATATATATATATATATATATATATATATATATATATATATGATTATTGTTGTTCTTTTAACTTTTGATTTATCTAGATCTATGTTATATAGACACGGGTACGGGGACACAGTGATACACGGATACGGACACAGGGAAACATTTTATCAAAAAAAGCAGGACACGAAAAAGTGGGGATACGTGTAAATATTAAAAAATATAGGTGTACATTTTAAAAATTTTAAAAGTTATTTTTATTATTATTAATATTACAGTTTACTTATAATCTTTATTAAGTTATTCAAATAAATACAACCTGTGAACTTATGGCTTAGAATAATAAGATGTGGGAAAAAAATAAAAAAAAGAGGGTTTTTTTTATTGATACGCGTATCCAACTTTTGGAAAATTACACACGGCACAGTAAAGTATCAGAAGGGTGTCCGCGCGTTTCGTGTGCGAAACGTTTCCGACACGCGGATACTCCACCAAATTGCCGTGTCTATGTAACAGAGATCTAGATAATTAAATATTTAAGATTTGAAAATGTTTTTATGAGAGCATCCTAATCATCTGCATCATAGAAAGAATAAAATCCAATTCTAAAACAAATATAATTCATTGAATAAATCTTGATTCTAAGTCGTTTAATTTCGTTATGAAAAGTGTTGGCATTGAAGTTCAAACTCGGACCATTTGACTTAACGCTCGCTTTCTCCACTAATTCAACCATTTTTACGGGCTAATGTAAAATTGGTATTCTCTCATTTTTATTTAGACTAGTATTTTTTTTCCTGTACGACATAATTGCAATACAATTTTAGTAAGAAATATATAGTAAAGGAAAATAGGAGATTTTTTTTTTAAATATCTTAGTGGATTAGAATTTTGCTTGAGGATTTGCAAATTTGATTTAATGATGGAAAATAGAAGATTAAAAAAAAAAAAAAATTGAAAAAATTACCAATATATCATTAAGATTTTTAGATTGACCTAAGATTAACTCTTTTTATATATAAGAATAAGATTACTTGTTGATTCAACTTCCCTTTATAATTTTGTTCAGGTGGATTTTTTTATTTTTTTATTTTCGTTTGAAATTGGACAAATAAAATGGAATTTCACGAGTCAATACCTACCTGTCACATGCTATTTTTTATTTATTTTTTCTTATTTTTTGTTTATTGGGTCCAATATGTTATGGACTTGCAAAATGAAATATGATTTGAATATGATCACTTGGCAATTGAAGTAAAATGACAACAAAACATCAGACAACTAATAGTCCAAATTGTTCAAATTGCATATGCATATTGAGCATATTAATTTGCTGTAACTAATTAGTTGTAATTTATATATCAAAGACATAATTGACTGGATTTTGGAATCGGAAAAGCTAATAATTGGTTGTAATTACCTGCAAATAATAAATTTTATAAAATGCCCAAAACCTGGGAGCTAGGCTTCTAAACAAATGAGCTTGTCAAATTTTTAATATAATGCAATTATTGGTGCCATTATAGAAACCACCCAACTTATATTCTTTCTTTCTTTTTGTTGAGAAAAATCATGATTTTATTAGACTATATTAGCCAAATCTGAAGGCAAAAATTGTCCCTCGTAACATCCTCAACGTAGTTCGTCGTAATAGGTGGGCAAGAGGATTCCTCGAACGCTTTATAATAGCAAAAAGACATAGATCGAATTCTTTAGATATGATAATACTCTCTTCAATTAATTAGAGCACCATAAGAAGTATCGGACAACAATTTATCTTGAAAAGTGTTGATTACTAGTAAATTGTCATATTGATTACTAGTAAATTATCACCTTCCAGCCGCAGATCTACACCCCATGTCTTTGGCCTTTGGAAGTGCGTGCGCAGAGCTGCATGCGCCTCCCCTTCAATTACTTTTAACCGTACTGAGGGATTGTAGAGAAAACCACCAACACTACAATTCTAGTAACAATCACTTGAACTCCTAGTAAATCGTTGTTAACATTTGCACTCCGTATCATTGCTATCAAAGCATATGCACAACAAATGAAAAGTTATGAGCAGAGAGGGTTGCCTTGACGAAGACCCCTCGAAAGTTGTAAAGATCCCACATTACTCATTAATAAGAAAAGGAATAAGAAACAGTCAAAACACACATCATAATAAAGTCAACAAATGAATCAGGAAGATCGCATCGACAAAGAATTATTCGTAAAAATGTCAATTTAATCCGATTGTATACAGTAATATTTAATTTAATTGTCATATAATTGGTCCTACATGTAGGAATTGATTTAATAAAAGGGTTAATCGATAATGTCAATACAATATTTTGTATTCCCATAATTGATCTTATGCTTGTTTAGTTACCGGTATTAGGTTCTACTAAAATAATAAGATTAGTAAGATATTCGATTGACAAGATCCGTACTTATTTGAACCTGCTATTGAAGCCCGCAATTAAATGATACCATTTCACTAAATTGATAGGACCTCCACCATGCGATTAATTTGGTAGAGGCTTACTAAAGCATAAAGAAAGACAGTTATCCATAAAATCATGTATTATTATTGTTAATTTAGTGATTTTATAGACTCTCAACAACAAATTTCTTATTTTCAGCAAAATATAATAACACCGAGACAAGAAAAATAGGGAACAAATAATTTATTAATTAAAACAAAGTGAATTACAATCTTCGGAAATTCCCTGATTCTTCCCTCCTATTATATAATCGATTCAAGGACTTAGAAGATTTTTTTTGAATCGGATAAATATGAACACCTTGAATTCAAATATGCTATGAATTCAAGGCGGAGGCTCGAGACTAAAGTTTGAGAGCTCGATATGTGTATGCGTGAGTCTGTTTTTTTGCACGCACGAAAGGTCTCTTTTTATAGGCACGAGCTAGGGATTTGACTTGTAGCATGGGCCGATGAACTTGGATACTTGACATTTTATTTATTGGGCTAAATTTGTGCCCAATTAGATAGTCTTTTTTTTTTTTTTGAAGAGAAGAATATTATATTAGGCATAGATAGCCAAAGATTGTGGAAGTGTCAATCCTTCAGTACAGGTAGGGGTGGGCATTCGGGTCGGGTCGGGTTATTCGGGTTTTTTGCAAAAAAAAAATTACCCGAACCCGACCCGAAATAACCGGGTACCCGGTTATCTCGGGTCGGGTTCGGGTTTTGCTATTTTCCTCTTTTTTTTTTTTTTTTTTTTTTTAGAAAAATAAACAGTAACTAATTTTATTTAAGCTATACATATATATATATATATATATATATATATATATATATATATATATATATATAGCTTAAATAACTGTAAGGTCCCTGTGGTATCGATAATTACACTTAGCCACCTGAAACGTAGTCAGAAACTCTAATGGGATAATGAATGGGATACGTTATTCTGATAGGGTTCTAACGGACTATTGGTTTCAGAAAGTGGTGGAGACAACAAAGAGCTATGGGTGATTTAAGAAATGTTCGGGAATGTTCGGGGAGCCATATCACCCCATAAGCTCCTTTTAACATCTTATAAAGTTAGTCAAACACTCTCTAACTAAGTAATTAATCAGTTAGTGAAAAATTAATACAATCTCAACTAATTCAATATATTCCGATATCGGAAATCGAAAGAGCCGTTAATTTATTGGAATAGTTAAAAGAAAATATTTTATGTTGTAAAGTAAAAAAAATAAAAAAATTTAGTTTCAATGACAATATATTTTTTTTCTCTGATATTTATTTTGCATATAGTATATTATTTGAACCCGAACGGTGAGGCCCAAATGATTCCCAACTTGGAATAAAAATTGGAACGAAATTTCTAATTTTTTTCTGAAAATTTTCATTAAAATATTTTTCGTTTGAAATGTCGAAAGTTCCAATTTATGTGTTTTTGAAACGGGATTGAATTATATATTATTCCGATTTTCGATTCGATTTTAATTTTCAAACATATTTAAAAAAGTTCGGTAATTTCTTATCAATATTAATATGTACTTTATATAATAGGAAACTGAAAAATAGAAATTTCAAATTCCATCGATTCCAATTCGAATGTTCAGATTTTACAACCAATTTCATCACTCTAATCTCAGAAATTACAACTTCCAAGATTTTCCTAAATCTTTTGGAAGGAACAGAAAATAATTTATGATAAAAAAAAAAATATATATATATATATTATTTAAAAATGCTAATTTTGATCCCATCAATCTGATCTTAACCTCTAATTTAATTAACTAGTTTATTTGGGTTTAAAATACTGGATTCGGGTTGTAGCCCGGGCCCGAAACTCAAACATATAAATAGGTTTCGGGTTTCTCAAATTCAAAAAATTATCTTCATCGCGTGTGGTACTCACTACACAATGGAGCTCCGCATCTTCTTCGCCTCCCAATCTCGTGCCGGTACAATTTTCTTCCTCCGCATACAATCAAATTATCGATTATAATAATTTAATTTTGCATACTTGTAACTAATTTAGGTATTAGGTTTTCAATTCCGATTTACATTTTCTCGTGTTGATTTTAGGAGATGTGTTGTATAAGCATAATCAGATAACCACACCGAAGAAACAATTTTTCATGTGTGGGTTTCGTAAGAAGAAAATCGGTACCGTATGCTGTTCGAACAATCCAGACAACAATGGATTTTCACTGTCGGAATCTGAATTACTCAGTAGCAAAGTGGTATATTCAGTTGCACCTGCCATGGGCCATAACAAGGTCTGGAAAGCTATTTATTCTAATTAGATTTCTTGTTATTTTTTTTTCCTATTAATTTTCATTTTTATCTACCATTTTGTTTCTCTCACTAAATGCTGAATATAGAATATCTATAATGTTCGTAGTTGTAGCAGTAGCGCTTGTATTATTTTGTCAATTGATTGTTTTTCTGTGTTTGAATACCGTTAGGAGTCCCACCCGGAATGTAATGCCAGAGTTCCCGCCATTACTGGTGCGCTTGAAAAGATGAGGTTGACTTCAGAGGTAAGTGAGAATCGACCAATCCGGTAGATTTTTCCACGTTCATAGGAGTGCGTTTATGTTTTTGCTTTACGAATAATGATCTTTTTTGGGCATTTCTAATAATATCAAGTCTTATTCCTATTATTTTTTCATTTTTCATTTCCGGGATTTTAGCCCCGAACCAAGGATCGGTTAAGAAATTCATAATGCAATTATTTTGATATTGACAGTTGCCGAAATAATTCTCTAAATTTGAATTGTTCTTGATGAATCAAAGTATGTTCTTACGGCTCTTTGGTGTGGAGAAGGGTTGGCAGAGTGGGGGACGAGGGTTAAATAGACGTTTTTAAACTTCTGCAAATAAACAGTCAAATAATCCTTTTTTTTTCTTTTTTTTTTTTCTGGTTCTGTGATTTGACTCGTAAAATTTGATAGAGTAACTTTTTGTTTGACAAGCTGGATAAAGTCAATGGGTAGTTAAATTCGACTCAACTGCATGTCTAGGAGAGACTTGAAACATATTCAGCTCAAGGTGTCTTACGAACGGAGTTAAAAACATTTTAAAAAATAAAGCTATAATTGAAAGTTGTATGCAAATTTTCGGGTAAGTGAAGTAATATACGACGAGACAATTAAAAATAAAGATATAACTGAAAGTTGTAAATGAAGATTATATTTCGTAGAGATTTGAAGGTGGAGCAAGCCTTCTAGCGTGCCCTCCATTTCAAATTTTCTGGATCGATTCCAATTGAATTGTTCAAAGTTGTTGGACTTCCACCCGAAGCCATGGATAAAAAACGATTTCTTCATAGCCTTTTCCACATAGGCTTAGCTACAATTGTCACCTAGCTACTTCACAGTCTTTCAATATAGGTTTAATTTACACCGATGCTGATTTTTCCTTTTGATATTTTTTGTGATTGGTAATTTCCTCTTCAAGAAATGATATTAAACTCACTTGTCAATTATTCTATCGTGTGATTCAGTTCCGGAGCTTGGAGGTTGTCGAACTTCAAAAATTCAGATCTGCTAAAATTGATGATATAGCTAGTGTTCATGAAAGAGTCTACGTATCAGGACTTGAGAAGGTATTATGGTTACATTCATCCTTACTTAGTTCGGAACTTCTGAGCATGTAAGTAGTATTTCGACTGAAATAATTTACAATAATATGCTTTATTTTTGTAAATATATTTTGAACTATTGTTTACTCCTTTAATGCAATTTTTTCGCCGGGGATTCTTCATTTTGAAATGCTGGTTAAGATTAATCTCGCTCTAGTCTTAGTTATTTTCTTGGGTAACTTTGTGATACATTTCTCCTATTATTATTTATGATTGACACAATGATAAATATTAAAAGGAATACTTTCTTTAGGCTTCATCTTCTCAATCCAACTCCCGTGAACGTGAAGAAGCAGAAAACAAATACAATATTGGATACCTCATCGCTGATTTATGAATATTTGCCAAAACTTGTGATGGAATAAGTGATTTTAGGCAGTAGTAAGTTAAAACCAATTGAGAATCAGATTTTGTTTTAGTTATGCAAAGTGATGCTGAGAGTAGAATAAGTTAAAGACGAGTGGTTGGTAAAGAAGTTGCCAAACATTTTATAGCCTTTCATTTTTGTAAAGAATAATTGTGTACATGTATGTGTTCATCCGTATTTAAACTTTTACGTAGTTGTATATTTCTACATATTTGTGAATATATAAATATATTACTATTCTATGTCTTTATTATGTCAACTTTCATCTTCAACTTTTTGTGCTGAATAGGCCATGGACCAGGCTTCGGAACAGGGACTTATTTTCCTTGATGGTTCTGGACCAACTTATGCTACTTCGACGGTGAGAAACACGTTTCTACTCTCATTTTAATTTTTATTTTTGTCATTTGTTACCTTAAGCTGATGCTCATAACTAATATCGTAAGTCAAGAATCCTAGCGTGACTAGAAGACAGAATTTTTGCAGTATGATATGCAATCGAGATAAACCAACATCAGTCCATATATATATATAATATCTAATTTATTCTTGCTTGTTAGTTAAACAGTTTTCGACGTGCAACTTAGAATATTGTATGATGTGTATTACCGGTAGACTAGCAGTGCATTCAGTGTCGTCTTTCTTAACAATTGATTGTTATTTTATTTTTTTATTTTTTTTTCTTTTGCAGACATTCAAAGAGTCTTTATTGGCAGCTGGGGCCGGAATTTCGTTGGTGGACACAGTGGTGATTTCTCGTTCTAACACGTTAGTCACTTAATGACGAATCTTTCTAGGCAACACACTTTTTGGTCTGAATTAGTAGTTGTATTTTTTTCTTACCATCCGAAATTCCATTTTGGAAATTTCTGATTATTTATTCTAACGAACAATGAAGGTTGCAGCATCGAAAGTGAGGAAAGATCCTCCAGTTGGTTTTGCTTTGATACGGCCGCCAGGTCATCATGCCGTGCCAGCTGGACCAATGGGGTTCTGTGTGTTCGGAAATGTGGCTATTGCTGCTCGCTATGCTCAACGTGCACATGGGTTGAAGCGCGTGTTTATCATTGATTTCGACGTGCACCATGGGAATGGAACCAATGATGCCTTCTATGATGACCCCGATATCTTTTTCCTTTCTACTCACCAGGTAATATAATCACTCTGGTCGCTAAATCTTATTTTATTTTGTCGATTTAAAATACGTTATTCGAAACTTTATAATTTTTGCTATACTTGTGACTTTATGCCCATATATTGACTTTACAACCTTCTGAGATGACCAAAAGTGATTATATTATTTCTTCTAGCAAGCATGTCGATATGTGTTGGATGTGTATATGAACGCTTTAACTCAACTGTATCTATATTTGAAGAATGCTTGATTCCTTGTGCATATTACATATCCTCTATAGCCTGCAGTCATGAATTATTCGCACTTGCATTTATACTTGATGTAGGATGGGAGCTATCCAGGTACTGGTAAAATAAATCAAATAGGCAGTGGAAATGGTGAAGGATCGACGCTGAATCTGCCATTACCGGGAGGATCGGGTGATAGAGCTATGCGAAGTGTCTTTGATGAAGTTATTGTACCAAGTGCTCAGAGATTCAAGCCTGATATAATTCTCGTTTCTGCCGGGTACGTGCTGTTGCAATTAATACTAAATTTATATTCTTATCGTGTCTTAATTAAAAATAGAACATGGGACGTGTAAATGTTAAAATTATAGTAGTTATATATATATATATATATATATATATATATATAAGTTGAAGTTTCTCATATATCTTCCTTGAGAATAGACGAAATTTCTGAATTTCGCAGACTCTGATCCGAATATTTCCGATATTGGAACAGAATTTTTCATTCGAATACATATTAGATTCCAAATTCCAATCCGAATTTAGTTTCCGAAAATTCTGATTATTTTTTTCTTTCAAAAGTTGCTCTTCAAATATCCATATTATCATGTAATTTATATATTACTGATGACTAAAAAAAGGGAAATTCTGAATTGGAACAAGTTTTTGACTCCCGGAAAAAAATGGATTCTGATCCGAATATCTACGATTTTGGAGCAAGTTTATATAATTTCCATTTTTTCTTATTTTTTTCCAAAACAGAATTGGAACAAGTTTTTCACTTCCGAAAAAAAAAGGAATTTTTCCGAAATTGCTAATTCCGATCCGACAAGTCCGATTTATAATTTCTGCCCCTACTTGAGAGAGTGAGATAGTTCTTTTTTTTTTTTTTTTTTTTTTTTTCTGGCGTTACTTTTCACTCTTCTTGATTGCCCTTTCTGACATACATGCAAAAGAATTCAGATACGACGCTCATGTGTTGGATCCACTAGCGAATCTGCAATTCACGACAGGGACGTACTACATGCTGGCTTCGAACATTCAACAACTAGCAACAGAATTATGCGGCGGTCGGTGCGTATTTTTCCTGGAAGGAGGTTACAACCTCACTTCTCTCTCAAATTCCGTAGCAGACTCGTTTCGTGCGTTTCTCGGGGAACCTAGCATGGCCGCAGAGTTCGATAACCCTGCCTTCTTGTATGAAGAACCATCCAAAAAGGTAAAAGAAGCCATTCTCAAAGTCAAGCATATTCACTCTCTCTAAACTATTTGCTACCTAGCTTTGTCCCTGATTTTTGATGGGACTCGCTAAGTGCCAATTATTTGATAAATAATGTAAAGTTCAAATTATTTATCCATTGATCAACATATAGCAATAAAATGAAAAATAAAAAAATTTATGACAAAACCTATACTCTGTTATAATAACTTGCAAATTATACAAGAGACGTAAGTTGCACTAGACTAATCATGTGTGACAAACTCGATCTAGTATCCGTTGATAAGGGAATTCGAACTGCGGAGCCATCGCTTGCGGGACGTAAATCTCATTCTTTGAATAGCCGTATGGTTGCTCGCCGCTCGGTTTTTTGGATATAAAGAAAAAATATTTCCATTGTCGATAAGATAATGAAGAATTATAAGGTCCAAAGCACCTTATTTAAGTGCTATTGGGACATTAATTTATCTTACCAACTAACAAAAGACCTAATATCATTTTTCAGTTAGCTTTAGTTTTCGGTAAACCAAAATATTGGTATGCCGAAATAGCATATTCGAAAATTTTAATAAAAATAACTGAAAGTTTTAAGTATAATTCAAATCACAATTATTTGATTAAATATGTATAAGATAATCGAAGTGATACGTTCCTAATTGCCCAAATTAAAAGCCCGACACAAAGTCCAAAGGCGGTCCAGGCTCAAGATCACCTCATCCACTACAATTGCTAAAAATTACCAAATAGCACTATATATAGTGCATGTATGTAAGCGGTGGTCCCGGTGGATGTGACTACATTGCCAAAGAAGCCCACCAACCAACAACGAGTTCACTTAGGGCAGTTAAGAGGGACCACGAAGCGACCCAGGTCGCAGAGAGAGGATGCAGATCGCCTTCAATAGGGAAAATGAGCTTGCGTCAAGTCACGTCACCTTTTTGTGGCTTGATAAGATAAGGGTAGGGGCGACTCCACCCCTTTGGGAGTGTGGACTCAAGTACACGAAATAATTGTCTACATTTCGTGTACAAATGAACGAAAGCAGCAATAAGGGAGTTTATCCTTTACTTCGTGCATAAAAACACGAAATATGATATAATATTTCTAAGTGTGTTGCACGAAATTATTAATAAGACAGAATATGATCATAGTTTTGTGAAGGAAACCACGAAAACTGAATGCAGGATTTCGTGATATATCTTACATGAAATGCATAAAAATCGACGATTATCAGACAAAAACGTAATTTTTTACCTTATTATCTGGATCGATGTTGGCCATATTAATAATTGTTGTGTTCTAACTGATTGTAGAGAGAAAAAATAACGATCAACAAAATTTAATTTACTTACTTTGCAAATGAATTATTTTGCCCTGTAACTTACAAAAAATTAAAAAAAAAATTAAAAAAAAAAAAAAAAAGGTGTTAGTCAAGTTAGTTTAATGATTAGTTACATCATTTTCATGTGGCAACCAAATCCATTCACTAAGAACAAAAATACAATCGAATCTACTCATCTTTCCACTAAAAACACAAAAAATCTTCGAACTCCACGACAATTAATTTCTTGGTAGTTCATCTTCTGAAAATCCAATAATGGCTCTATACTTATCTAAATCCGGAAAACATTTGCCCAATTTGAAACAAAAATTTGGTTTACTGAGAAGGATCAACAACAACCTCAGTTCATGTTCATGGAGTTGTTGTTTTCACCACCAAAATCAGCCTTCTTTATCCCCAATCCCAATTGGAATAATCCCAACCCTTTTCTCCTTTCGCCGTTTTGAATCTTCTAAACCCGATAAACACTTGGGTTCTCTGCATAATCATGGTGGTGGTCATCCTCAGGTTATTTTTTTTATTTTTTTTTTATGAAGCTTTTTTATTATCGAATTTGTTCTTTTCTGTTTTTGTGTTGCCGTAAATTTATCAATTTTTTTATTTTTTTACTTACAATTGTTCTTTCACTTTTTTGCTATTGTTACTCTCGAACCATCGTTAGCGGAGCCAGGATTTTAACTTCGAGGGGAGCCGAATGCTATAATAGTACACAATTTATTTATTTTTTATATATTTTTATGTAAATTAATAGAGATTCGAGAAATGTTGTGGGGGCCATGGCCCCCCTGACCCTATGCTGGCTCCGCCACGGGCGATCATTGAATTGAAGAGATAAGAAATTGATGAGTATTTGAACACGAGCTTTTCTTTTATCAAACATGTTCTTCTCTCTTTGATCTTGTTGTAAATATCAAGTAAAATATGCATGTTATTAATTCAAGATTGAAATATGGTTTCATACGATTCCCGATTTTTCAAATCAAATTATGCATAGATCCTTTTCACTAGTTTGTTTTCTTTAGAGTTTCTTTTTAATATTGAGGTAGTTACAGTATTTATTTATTATTTTTTGAATTGTATTAGGTACTGAATTTTCCTGGGGGGAAAGTTAAGTTCACCCCGGATTTGAAATTCCTGTCGGACTACCCAGACGAGAGGGTTCATTGCTACAGAGTTCTTGATGGCAGTGGGCAGACAGTAGGCAGCAATTTTGTACAGGTACGTGCCTATATATTTCGCCTTGTTGTAAATAAAATAAATGCAGCTTTTATTTAAAATAATGTTTCGGTTGTATGTATGATAATCTCAGATAGAGAAAGATGTAGCTTTGAAGATGTACAAAGACATGGTTACTCTTCAAACAATGGACACCATATTCTACGAGGCGCAGAGGCAGGGTAGAATATCTTTCTATGTGACGGCAACCGGAGAAGAAGCCATTAACATTGCTTCTGCGGCTGCACTTACCATCGATGACCTTGTCTTTCCTCAGGTTAACAACAATCATTCAAAATGAGATGTATATGAGCTATTCTATATGTAACTGTATATGTTTGTGTGTCTGGAGAGAGAGAGAGAGAGAGAGAGAGAGAGTACTGTTTCAGTCTATGTGCAATGTAAAATAAAAATAGTGATCGACTTTGCAGTACAGGGAGGCGGGAGTTTTACTTTGGAGGGGATTTACGCTACAAGAGTTTGCACATCAGTGTTTTGGAAACAAATACGACAACGGTAAAGGCAGGCAGATGCCTGCCCATTACGGATCCAACAAGCACAATTATTTCACAGTTGCTTCGACTGTTGCGTAAGACGTTAATATATTATTTATTAGTTAATCCTAATGATGTTTTAATACACAAATTATTTCGATTTATTTAGCTTATCAATCAGTTTCGGTGTTAACTGTGCTTCAGTACTCAAATTCCTCATGCTGTGGGTGCTGCTTATTCTCTAAAAATGGATGGACGAGACGCATGCACAATTACTTATTTCGGAGATGGAGGCACTAGTACGGTAATTAAACAATATTAAAATAAAAATAAAAATAAAAAAATTCAAGAATTTCAAGATTTATGAATATGGCTCGTAATGTGAATTTAATGACTTACAGGGAGATTTTCATGCTGCGATGAATTTTGCTGCTGTAATGGAGGTACCGGTTATACTGCTTTGCCGAAACAACGGATGGGCCATTAGCACCCCAGTTAGTGATCAGTTTCGAAGTATATATTTTCTGTAAAAAAAATACATACAACATATTAATAATAATTGCGAAATTTCGTTATTAAATTCTCCATCTAAAATTATCCGAAACTCCTGCACAGGTGATGGCGTTGTTGTTAAAGGTCAGGCGTACGGAGTTCGTAGTATCCGAGTCGATGGTAACGACGCCCTTGCTGTCTTCAGCGCCGTTCATTTCGCTCGGAAAATGGCCATTTCTGAATCTCAACCTGTTCTCATTGAGGTGGCACGATTGTTTTGTATTTACATGTAATATATATTTATATATAATTATTATTCCGGAATTATATACATTCGACAGGCACTCACATACAGAGCAGGACACCATTCGACATCTGACGATTCTTCGAAATACCGACCGATAGAAGAGATAGAATGGTGGAAAGAAGCTCAAAATCCCGTTGCAAGGTTTAGGAAGTGGCTTGAAGGACAAGGTTGGTGGGCCCCGACGTCCGAGTCAGAGCTACGAGAATATGCTCGTCACGAGGTAAAATTTGTTTTTTTTTTTTTCTGAAATAGAATCGAAAGTGAATAAGTTAGAAATATATTCCTCTATATCAATCTTTAGGTGCCAAGATAAGCTATATGATTAATTAAATAATTGAACTTTATTTGTTGTTCGGTTAAGTCATTTTGGAAAAACAAAATAAAAAATGAGTCGCGATCTTGGTTTATTATTGATTTAGAAGAAATGTACTATTGTTGAATGAATGGTGCAGGTATTGCAAGCAATTCAAGTTGCGGAGAAGGTAGATAAACCGGATCTTGCACAACTTTTCACAGACGTGTACGATGTTCCACCGTCGAACCTAATTGACCAAGAGAAATCACTTCGAGAGTCTGTTGAAAGGCATCCACACGAGTATTCCCATTAATACATTTTGGGCAAAGTACGGCCACCCCCTGAGGTATGGCCAAATTACGAGAAAAAAAACCCTCTTGTTTGGGTAATTACAGCCACCCCCTCCTTTTAAATATTTTTATATAAAATTTATGCAATTTGGTTTATTTACCGAACCAAATCGTATATTCAGATCGGTAAACGGTATGAAATGTTGGCGTACCAAAAATTCGGTTCGGTTTTACCAATTTAACATCCCTAAATTTACCTTTGGAGGAGTATTTTCATAAGATAATACTTAGTTGAGGGGTGGCCCTAATTTGCCCATACATAATAAGTGCTGAACTGTAATTATACTCGGAATATTAGTGACCATATGATGCATATTATTGAGATAATTATTTGATAAGTTAACCCTTTGTCAACAAGGATATTGGACCAAAATTACCTACGTCAATTATTCATTGTGTATCAAAATTTGGCAATTACAAATTCAATAGCATATTTCAATTCCCAACTTTGTTAAGCTCAAATCGAGTTTTGGTCTAATAAGGAATCATAAAGCATGTTCAAAAAATTTCATTCGAATTTCGATCTAATCTCTAGTTAAACTACTAAAACACGTTCAAAAATTTCTCGTTTACGGTTCCTGCTATAAGCAAATTGGATTAATAATTGGAAAATTTTGATAAAAATACCTGAAAACAAAATTGTATTCCTAGAAAAAATACTTGGTTCTTTCTCCAAAAGTCTGTCTGCTGAAATAAACTGAAAGAAAATGACCATAGTCTGCAAAACTTACTAACCGAGTTCTACTGACTGCACTCTCTTTTGGGATCGTATTTGTTAACTAAATCCCGCGTGTTTGGAGCTCGACATGTAAATGACTATAATTCGTCTTTTAAGATTAGTTTCAACACCACGATGAAATAATATGATGTAGCAGTCTCAATCCACCATTACAACATCTGTAAGAAAGAAGTTGTTAATCCCTCTAGTGCATTTGTACTTTGTCCTAAAAAGGAATTTTAACAAAAAACGAACAACTCTCGTGTTGACACATAAAGCTGGACCATCCCATCGCCTCTAATTATTGATATATAAAATATCTCACAAAGATGAAGATCTCTCGTGAATGGAGTCTTGAACGGCCTTCAAGAGAGCAGGCATGAGTTTCTTGTTGGTAACGATAATGCCAGTGTCGAGATCAAGATATCTTCCCTTTGAGAAGTCCAATGGATTCCCACCTGCATCTGTCACCACACCTCCAGCTTCTGCAATATTCAAACGTTGTCGTATATTCAATTCAATGTACGAGGAAATATTATAATTTTTCTTTTCTAACAGCAGATATATTTGGACATGCACAAGCATTAATTTTTTTTGGAGCCAGCGGTGTACTATGAATTATGTCCTGAACGAATCCTGGATAAGTTGGCAGTTACTATATACAATTTGCATATTCTACATGGCTCTTATTTACTGCCGAATACACCTTAGTTTAAACCTCAACTTACCTAGATATGAACTTATTATTAGTTCGAAAATCAGTAGTTACACATGCAAACAAAATGGAGGATAACTACAGAACAATGCATGAAAAATATAAAGTTTTAAATAATACGGATGATTTAACAACCTGCAACGACCATGTATCCAGCTGCATGGTCCCATATCTTCTCTCGGTAACCTTTGTGAGGGAACCTCAGATATATTGCTCCATCTCCTCTTGACAAAGCACCATACTTTGCTTGGCTATCTATCCTGACAGGTGGCGCTTTAACACCAAGTTTCTGCCCCCACGAAAAATGATAGGTACAGGTTTTACACACATGCACACAAACATACGAACACACAATAACAATTACAAGAGAAAAAAAAAGACAGAATAGTACCTTGGCAATGGAGCTAGATAATTCATGCAACGAGTGTGCAGCTTCGTAAGATTCAAAGAAGGACGCTTCTTCAGGGTTTTCAATAGTACTAACATGTACCTGAAATGGTCATATGAAAGTTTAGGTATTTGAATGACCGTATTTTGAGAGTCAAATGCTAATGAAATACTGACCTTTGTTGGAGGGGAGCCATCTAAACTTTGAACATATGTTCCAGCATCAATTTGCGCGTAAAAAAGGCAGCCTTTTTTTTCGTCAGATGCCATGGGGAGATTCGGACATGCTAACACTCCCAACACGACTTTCCCTTCATCTAACAAACCTAATGCAATAGCATACTGATCTCCTCTTACAAATCTGCGTATCCAAGCACAGCAAGTAAATATTAACTATGAATTCTGACACGTCCAAACAATATTTTATTTTCTTAATTTTATCCAATATGTGTCGAGATATCAATGAATTGTTTTTGAGATATTTTTTAAACGAACCCATGCAAGTTCATGGTACATATGAAATGAGTCGAGACTGTGGCAAATAAACTTCTGGAATGTTGGTAATCACTTTCAAAACCTCTTGGAACATTAGAATGGGAATAAGTGGTTCAACATGGTCTCGAGGTAATAAACAAAGTCGACATTAATAGCATTACAGTGGTAGAAACGTGTGAAAAAAAAATTCTTGGACAATAGAGAGTTATCTAGCTTATGGTTAAAAATGATGCAATGCAGCTATTTAAGGAAAAGATTGTCAGCGTTGAAGGCTATCTTCAGTTAATAAAGAACAAATCGAAACAACACAGCAAATTTTATGAAACCTGTCTTATTAACATATACTGAAGAGTTAGACAAGTGAACGTATATGAAATTGAAAGGTCCAAATTTTCACATCTATCTATAGAGGGACTAGTCACATAGCAACGGAAGATAAAAAAAATCTTCATAGATGTGACTGAAATACTTACCCTTTAGTGCCGTCAATTGGATCCAAAACCCAATGCTGACCGTGCGGACCTCCTTCAGATTTGCCATTATCGATGGCTTTAAGCACATCTTCCTCAGATAGAGGTGAAATATCAATGGTTCCATCACTAGCAAGTGTCTCGTTCACAAGTTCAGTTATGCGGTGCAGTGTTTCTCTCGACTCTTCTTTGCGTAGGTCTTCAGAGTCCTGGAATATTCAAACAGTCCATATTTAATGAGACAAATGCATTACAAAACTAAATTAATGATAAAAAGAAGAGTTGAGCGAGAGGGTAATCCAAAAAAATGACCAAGGCAAGAAGTTTTATTACCTCTTCAGCTACTAATGAGAAGGGAAATGATGGCAACTCTTTCCCCAAAACAAGGCTAACAAGAGCCTGTGAACCTGCAGAAAGAACGGATGAACGAGTTAAATTATACTTACGATACATTAACAGCTTCATGAAGAGTTAAAAGCCTTTAAATTATAAATTGCATCTGCATATAATGATAGATTGTATGAATGTTAGAATTTTATTAACATTCAGAACAAGTATAAGCTGTGTATTTTACAAATAAGAATACCATATATTTCTCAGATTTATGATATGCACCATGAAATAGAATCGAATGAGTTATTAGACACAATTGATTTATATTCAAAGTTAACACCCTCACTTTCTCACTTCAATTCCTATTGTAACTTATACTGCAAATTAGCTATTGTGGTTTAGGAATCCGATGAAAACGACCCCAGTTTTAGAAGTTTTCTGGCTCACTCTCTTAAGAAACTACAACCCAAATGTACAAAGAGAGAGCTAGACAGTGGAAGTGATTTTCGCTACCAAATTATTTAATGGCCCTTTAGTTCGTCTTTACTAGGATTTCTAAATGTAGTTGAGGGTCAATTCAAGAAATACGTAGTCATCTATGGAAGGGAGGGGTGCAAGAATTTTCACATTCGTAGGCCGGACAAAATAGGTGACGACGAGAGACCTTCATTTGTTTTTTTCTCCATAGTTTGGTTAAAAGTTTTCATTTACATCTGTGCAATTGATTTACTTTTAAAAGGACAAAGGAGCGACACAATCAGCAAAACCACAAAATACAATACTTACTATTAAGAGAATACAAAAATAACAGCCTACATAACCCGATTTAAATTGCATTAACAGACCGTAATCAGCAACTGTGACAGGACTTTTATCGGATTTTGATTGGACATCAGATTGCAACAAAGCCTTTTGCACCTTCTGTTGTGAGAGGCAGAAAAAAAAACACATTATGATATTACATACAATTATTAGCAGGCTCATTCAACTGCAAGCTTCTTCAAAATTCTAACACGAGTCTGAACTGAATTCGATTTCAATCCATTTATATAGAGGTCTGACTGACTAATTATTTTCAAAAGCAGCGTTGTAGGATGTAATCACCCAATTTTCCTCCCTTGATTTTCAAAAAAATTCAAATCAAATGCCAATTTTACCCTATTTGCTGCTCTTCAAATATATATATGCAACAAATATGCAATGCCCCCAATTTTCTTACGTAGAATCTAGTCCATGGGTAGTTTATCGATTGTAATTTGAATCTAGGGCACGCTATCATTTTACATCATGTTATTAATTCAACTGATCAACGAACATGTTATCCCCATTTGGGCGTTTCGGTGAAATTCACCAGCGATCCATTTAAATAAGGGGGAAAAAGTCAAAATACTACACAGAAAAAAAGGGAAGAACAGCTGATTTACATAATACAGCAGAGAGAAGAGTGGAGGAGAGAGAAAGTGACCTGGCACAATCGAGAAGCGAGAGAAGCAGCTTTTTTGGCAGCAGCTAGTTGTCTGTCGTAGGACATTGTTGAAGCCGATGATGATGATGATGATCTTCTTCTTACAGCTCGTAGGTTGGGCGGCGGAGTAGCAGTAGTAGAGCGGTGGAGAGAGAAAATAAATGGGAATCTTTTTGATATCGAATGTGGCGATGTTACTGTAATGGCATTTATATGTAGTGAGTGTGAGACCACTCGAATCAATGGAGTTTGCCCAATTGATACACTCATCTCTCCCCACTCTCTCTCTCTACTTCTCTCTCCTCTTTATTTTTCTTTTTTTTTTTTTTTTATTTAGGCCCTTTGTTTAGGGGTACAAATATAAATACATGTGAAGTGTTTATTCGTGGATTTTTTTATTTTTTTTTAAATTACAATTGTCATTTCAATTTTATTTACAAGATTGAAACATCGCAAAGGTGGAGGATACATAGTTGATGATTTGTTGTAACTGAAATGATTTGTGCAGGCCAAAATTAAACATTCAGGCACATTTTTTACCATTCTTCAAAAAACAAAAAGTAAAAAAACTCAAAAACTCTCTCAACCTTTCGATTTTCTTTCGCAAAGCCCGTGCAAATCGTCAACAGATCGGAGGTAATTTTTACGTTTTTACGATCCTCTTGTTATGTAGATTACGAATCCCAAAAAAAAAACGCAAAAAATCGGACTTTGGCCTGCTCGTGTGAATTTACACGAGCACATCCACTGTGCTCGTGTAAATCCACACGAGTAGGCCTTTTTATTATTATTATTTTTTTAATTGCTCGTGTAAAAACACACGAGCGTTTGCAAAGGGCTCGTGTGATTTCACACGAACGCTTTTCAAACGCTCGTGTGTTTTTACACGAGCAGATTATTATTTTTTTTTTTTTAATTATAAGATGCTCGTGCAAAAACATGCGAGCATTTCAACAGTGCTCGTGTGAAAGCAGAGGGCCCCACTGATGAAAATCCCATGTTTTTTGCACGAGGCGCTGCTGATTTAATATCTTTTTTATTTGGGGTTGATTGGTTCGAAAGGTAAATGATTATATGAAAGGGGAAAAAATCATGCGAGAAAAAGGGCCTCAATGCTAATTTGGCTGCGTATATGATTACGCGAGTCGAGATAACCCAGAACAGAAGATATTTTTTTCGTAATTTAATCTACCTCAAAGGGGCAGCCGTAATTTTACCCAAAATAGAATTTGAGAAACTGATCTTCCACAAAATCATTACTATCACTACTTTTCTTAAGAACTAAAACATACACTTGAAATTTTAAAGTTTCGCATCTTCCTTTGCATTTTTATCAAGTATGTAAAAAGCGGTAATCGGGTTGGAGGCGGTCAGGGACCGACTCACGATTGATCGGTGCGGCGGTGATTAATCGGTGATAAATCGGAAATAAATCGATTTTTAAAATTTAATATAATATATTTCTACATATTATTTATAAATACTCAAAACATATATAAATAGATATTTAAACATAGCTATATCTCCATCATCATAATACAATTGTAATAATAATAAGATCATAATACATAAATAACCTTATAAAATATAAATAAAAATGCATTTTTTTTGAATTTATATTTATTTTTGAACATTCCTGACATATATCATTAGTTCTTAACAATAATAATTAATACAAACTCATATTTTTTTTTATTAAAATCCCAACTTTTATTTAGAATTATTAAAAAAAAATAATAAAATAAAAATAAAAAATTAAAAACCGATTTTTGACCGATTTTTTGCCGATTTTTGCCACCGAAGTTTGACCCGCCTTAAAGATTTGACTGCCTCAGACCGCATCAAACCGCCTAAAACCGCCTCACCAGCAAGAAACCGATTTTTCAAACCTTTACACTAAAATCGTAAAGGTTTTAGACCGCCTCCACCTCGACGACCGATTAATCAGCCGTCTTAGCCAATTTTTAGAACACTGATTTTAATTAGGCAAGCCATTACTTAGGCCTAACTCACTTTGTATTCTACCATCTAGGCATCTTTATTAGCCCTACCCTACTATTCAATTAATTGAAATTAATAGTGACAACAAAAAATAAATTCATCATTAAAATTTAAATGAAAATCACATAATGTAGATTTTGTAGCCTCTACATAGAGTAATTCATTCTCAAGTGACAGTTGTATAATACCCACTGTATCACATAGTAATTTACAGGACTTAGTTTAGTTTTTAATCAAGCAACAAACTTCAGACAACGAGTGTCATTATGGATATTCCGGCATCGAGACGAACAGAATCGCACCCCACACTGAACGCATGTATAGTTTGAAGAAAACCCACAAACTGCGCAGAAGTGGCGTCTTGCTGTTGAACTTGGGGGCCCCACAGCTGCTCTCAAGTATGTCGGTACATGCGGAGGCAATGATTCCAAACGAGCCTGATTTCAAAGACCAAAGTAATCGTACTAAACATTTTAACAGAAGCAGAAATTCGAAGAAAAGTTGCGGTTTTTTCCTTATTTGTTTTTACCTCTTGCAAGAGCTCGAGGAATGATCTTGGTGCCTTCTTGGCATTTTCGAGTGCTTTAGCTTGACGGGTTTTCCTTTTTGTGCCTTTTGCTTGCTTCTTCTGATATGCTGCATAACCAAATTACGTGATGTTTGGGTAAAACATCGAGAGAATAGTAAAGGGAGTTGACCAGAATGCGAGGGCTGGAAAAGAAGAGTCAACTAGTAAACTAATAGGGTAAATTACACCCACACCCATGAAGTATGCTAAAATAACTTTAAGGTCCTTGTGGTATCGATAATTACGCACCCCCTGAAACATAGTTAGAAACTCTAATGGGATAATGCATTGGATACGTTATTTTCCATAGGATTCTAACGGACTATTAGTTTCAGGAAGTGGTGGAAACAACAAAGAACTTTTGGTGATTTAAGAAATGTTGGGGGACCATGTCACCTTCTAACTCTATGTTGTCTCCACCACTAGCTAAAAGTAATAGTCCATTAGAACTCTATCGGAATAACGTATCCAATGCGTTATCCCATTAGAGTTTCTAGCTATGTTTCAGGGGGTGAATGTAATTATCGATACCACAGGGACTTTAAAGTTATTTTAACATACTTCAGGGGTGTGGGTGTAATTTACCCAAACTAATACTACGTTTCTTTCCGGATAGTAAATCAGAGATGGCTAATACCAACAATTACGAGCTTTTTATCACGCCTAGTTTCGTATGATTCGAAGTATGCCTAACTAACCCCCGACAGTTGATTAAGGATAAATTTTCGTAAATAACCAAACACGAAATGACTTCAATTAAAAATGTTTGAGGCATGAATGTGTACTTCACTTTCGATTAATTAATGAAATAACTACAAAGTTATTAACCTTGATCATCATCGTCAAGTGAGGCTTCATCATCTTCGTCAACTTGAATTGTCTCTAAAGGAGCATTATCGTTTTCCAAAGCTTCAAGACGAGCAAGCATTGCCTGCAAATAATCTTTGGAATTAGTTCCAAATAAAAAACTAATAAAATCCTCAAAGCACAGTTAAACCTCTTTAAATTAATACAGTCGGGACTAACAAACTTCTATTAATTTAGAGAAATATTAAATAATCGAACTAATAATTTAATACGTTTTTACCGAGTTGGGACCCGAATAAAGTATTATTTAAGCGAGGTTATTAATTTATCGAGGTTCTACCATAAAAGCTAAACAAGTAACAAAGAGGACAAAAGCGATCGACAAACCTGAGTCCGATTATCGCTACTGGCAAGAGCTGCAGCCATTTTCGGAGCAACCTTACGAGTTCGTGTGGACATACGTTGTACTGAATTAGGCGTTTGTTCATCCATGGCTGCGGCAGCTAAACACTAAAATCTGAATTTTGCCAAGAAATGAAAGAAACTTGTAGTTACATACAAATCAACAACCCGAAACTAGTTACTTTTTCTCTGGGACATTTCATCGAACACATTCATTCATAAACAGACAACATCTTCATACCAATACTGATAATAATCGATCATAACAGCTAAACGGAAAAGCTTAGAACTTGTCAATTTTTTTTAAGTTTGGCTTCTCAAATTTGAGAACCCAAATTTAAATTTTATAAAATCTAGGATTTGATTTATCAGAAAATCACTCTCAACTGAAAAAAAAAAAAAAAAAAAGCGCTGAAAATGAAGGAAATTCGAATGGGTCAAACATACCGGAATTGAGGGGTAAAAGAGTCCTCTAAACAAGAGATTCACCGTCGAGCTCCGAATAACGGGGGACTATCACCGGTTGATGAGTCACCTGTGAGTTGCCATTTTTTCTTCTTGCCGAATTGTTTTCTCCGTACGGACCGGCCCTGGTAACTCGGCTTGGACAAATTAATTTAGATTGGTTTTCTTTTTCTTTTTTTTGCGCTAAATTAACTTGTTTATTTTGATTGGGCCTAAAGAATAGGTCGGTACTGGCTCGGTTGTTGCGAAAAACCAAACACCTATCGATAACATCAGTTTTTCATATTTTATTTATAAAAACCAAATATGTCGGTTTTTTTGCTTTTGTTCTAATCGGTTTTCGGGTAGTGGTGACGATATCAATTTAGTTTATTTTTGGATTCGTGTCTATCGGTTCGACAAAAAACGGTGATTGATGAAGTGCGATTTGGGCTTTTCAGCCTATTTGTTTGAGGATTAACAAATATTAGGGCATTCCAAACGGAAGAGGCTCCATTTATCATTGGGCTGTAAATTATAGAACTTCTACAAAGAAACGAAAAGCAACAACAACAAGGGTTTTAGTGGGTATGCAAATTTAGAGACTTTCACACAATTCCTAATTTTTTTCCTAAATATGTGATTTCATTTGGAGACTCTCTATTTGTTGGGTCCCACGGCAAATGATGTATAATAGTGAATAAAACATTGTATAGACCTTTTATTTCTTTTTCATCAATAAATTTCGAATCGAATTTTAATGTAGGCTTTTTATTTCTTTTTTGTTTTTTATTCTGAGTTTTTAAGAAGTGCTTATTTTTCTTATCTAAATGTATACGTGAGTGTGTATGTTATAGAATAATCTTACTGTACATGTAACCATTGTTTCGGTCGATAAGAGCATTTCAAAACTAAAATTGAATAAACAATATTCAACTTTATATCGAGAAATATATCGAGAAAGATTAAGTTAATTGACTATTTAATCTATAGAAAAAATTTGTTAGAATAACTAGAATTTAAATATTTAATTGATACATTTGCATCTATAAATGCAAGAAAAATTAATTTTATATAAAATGAAAATATAGAATGTAAGGGCCCCATTTTTTTTTTTTCACCAAGGGCCACAAATATCTAGTTTGGGACAACATGAAGAGATAAGGGTTACGTTACACCCTTTTCAGATCAGTTTATTGGGAGCCCGGATAAGAGATATATAGTGGAAACAGTAGACGCCGCCAATATTGGTGGATTGCCTCTTACGAATTTGATTTTATTTTTTATTTTTTTTTAGGAAAATGTGACTTTCATTAAAAAATTGTTCAAACTCCAAGGGAAGATAATCAGATTCCTTACAATCCACAACCTGGATATAAGCAAGATTATGGGCAAGAAAATTGCCGTTTAATTTCACAAAAGAAGGTACAAAAAAATCAAAACGGTTAATAAGTGATAGACAATTATCAACTATCGTTCAAACAGACGACAAGTTTCGTTCTTTACTTCGAAGAGCTCGAATAACTTCTAAACAATCACTTTCAATGACCACCTTTCTCCATTGCTTCCTAATTGAAATTGTGATCGCAAAAAGAGCCGCTCGAGCTTCTCCTTCAGTTGGTTGTGGTCTACCCAATGTATTCTCTTAACACCCCCACGAAACGCATTTTCCATACTCATCCCGACCCACCGTAGCTACTGTAAAGTAGTTTTCTCCATTCAGAAAAGTCGCATCAAAATTAATTTGATAATGCCTTCGGTAGGGGGAAGCCATATATTTGAAAATTTGGTTTTCTTCATCTCATGTAAAATTGTTGGTGTCTGTTTGTTACGATTTGTCTCGTGTGTTTCCTTATTGCGATTATTCCAAGATTGCCAACAAATAATCATCGCCAAAGTAAACTCACTGCACGTAAGATTTTTATACAAGAATTTCAACCAAGACCAAAAACTAGGGAAATCATCAAGAGCTTCAGACTGTAATTTGGAAAATTCATCCCACAATTCATTCATACCATAACATTCTCGAAGTACATGCCATGAGGTTTCTTGGTTCTTACCACATCGATAGTAATGAGGATTATGTACTATTATTATTCTTCGAAACAATTCAACATTAGTAGAAAGAATATCATTACATACTCGCCATAGGAATACGCGTACTTTAGGGAGCAACTAGAGATTCCAGATAAAGTTCCAGTTGGCAACTAGAGATTCCAGATAAAGTTCCAGTTGCCATCAAAAGAGCCACTTCCAGCATCCCCAATCTTCCGATTCTCGTTAATGCACCTCTCCAGGATAACGCGATAACAAGTTCTCACATTAAGGATTCCATTCTTCGAATAATGTCACACCATCTTATCATCAGTTGTGAGATTTGCTAAGGGAATCTAGAAAATCATTATTCGGAAAGTAACGAGCCTTTAAGTTTTTAGCTAGCAATAAATCCAGGTCAATAATGATTCTCCATCCTTGTCTCGTAAGGAGAGCAAAGTTGAAGCTTTTTAAATCTCGAAATCCCAAGCCTTCATTTTTCTTAAACCTACACGTATGATGCCAGGGTAGCCAACAAAGCTTACGATTCACCCCATCTCCCCACCAAAAGCGTCTATTGTTTCAATATAAGTGATTAATTAATCCCCGTGGAAGGAGAAAACAACTCATCACATATGTAGGGATAGATTGCAAAACCAATTTGATTAAGACTTTGATGCTGCCCACAGGTCTTCTAAGTCCGGGAATCTTCAAGCCCAATATCGGGAATGCCGAGAGTCCTTGCCACGCGTCCGAGGTAGTCGAAGGGATCGCTCCACTCGTTAACCTACAAAACAGTTGAAAACACTAAGTGACACACCGGGGGTGGCCCGACGATTGTCCTCTGTCACCGCACTTAGGAAACTATCACAATATAAGCAAATAATATTAATTAATTGCCTAAATAGTGCTTACCTTGTTATGTGTATGATAACACATATTTATAGGTGTAGTTTGATGTGGTTTTCTTGTTAAAAACCAATGTGGGACAAGTTGAATGTAATTAAGAGTGTTAATTGGATTTTTCCTCTAGATGGGCCAATTTGAGCATCTTGGGCCTAAATCCAATTATACACATCATTAAGCCCCCCACTCCCAGGTTGGGCCACGGCCTCGTGGACCTGCCTGGGAGTAAATAAGAAATGGTCGCTTGAATACGTATCTCCCCCTTTTTTCTGTTAGGAGAAAATACTGAAATTGCATTTTATCTTTTTCGGAAAAAATTGCCAATGGCTAATTTGTTTTGGAAAATGCTTCGAGACTTCGTGAATTGGGAGTCTGTTTTTCTTCAAGAACGAGAACTTAATTTATCTTCCTTAGTAGGTGATATCCCTTGGCTTTATCGCCTAATCGGACTCGCGCATTTCCTAAAGAATGAGTTTTGCTTTATCTTTTCCGGTGAGACGGTATCCCTTGGCTATATTGCCTATTGAGAGGTTCGGCTCTCGTAAAGAATGAGCTTTACTTTATCTTTTTAGGTAAGACGGTATCCGTTGGCTTTAACGCCTAATGGGAAGTCCATTTTTGAAAAGAATGAGTTATGCTTCATCTTTTTCGGTGAGACGGTATCCCTTTGGCTATATCGTCTAGTGGGAGGCTCGACTCTCGTAAAGAATAAGCTTTTACTCTATCTTTTTTGGTAGGACGGTATCCCTTGGCTTTAACGCCTAGTACGAAGTCCGTATTTTTGTAATCGGATTCGTACCAATGGGGATGAGAATATCGAGGGCCGATATGTTGTGGGGTGCGTTTTGAGGCTTGAGTATGTTGCGAAATTCAATATTTGGTCTCGCGACTCGAAGTACTTAGAAGTTTTGTCGAAAAACTTACCGGGCTTCAATGTTAATGTGACGTTTTGATAAATCCGTAGATTGTCTTAACACGTGAGAAATTCCACGATATTGGAAGTTACAAGTTGTAGTGTGAAAAATTTAGAATTTGTCGGTGCAAATTTTGCGAAATTCGGAGTTGTTTGGAGAAAGTTAGAAGCAAGAGAGTGTTGATGCTCGTTTTCCAAGAAAAGGAAAATACTGTGGGCGGTCGCAACTCGGAAATTGGACCGGTGCGATGTCACGCGGTAAGGAAAATTCGTGCGGCTGGGCAGCTGCAGCCGACCGAGTCAACTCGGTCGGCTCTGGGTCTCCTCGAGTCAACTCGGTCGGCTCTGGGTCCCCTCGGATGGGCCCGGTATCTCGTTCGAAAAAAGGTGGGCTGAGTGGGCCGTGACGTCAGCCAAGAAAAGTGTGATATCATCCGGTGCGGGGATCGAGGCGGAGCTGTTGAGTGTTAGGGTAGCGTGACATTAGCCATGTGCTTGGCCAAAAGGCTGCGTGACGTGAGCGAGAGAATTTGTGATGTCATGTGGCTCGAAATTCGAGGTACTGGTGACACCATCTTGCGGAAGATTGTGGAATGGTTGGTGCTGCCTTCTCACCAAGAACGAGGACTTATTTTAGTTTTCTTAGCGGGTGATATCCCTTGGCTTTATTGCCAGTGGAAAGCGCGCATTTTGTAAAGAATGAGTTATGCTTCATCTTTTTCGGTGAGACGCTATCCCATGGCTATATCGCCTAGTGGGAAGCTCGGTTCCCGCAAAGGATAAGCTTTTACTTTATCTTTTTAGCGAAGACGGTATCCCTTGGCTTAAACGCCTAGTGGGAAGTCCGTATTTTTGTGAAGAATGAGCTATGCTTTATCTTTCTAGGTGAAACGGTACCCCTTGGCTTTATTGCCTAGTGGGGAGTCCGTATTTATGTACTTGGCGGTTGATCTGACCCTCAAGTTTTTTATGTGGGAAGTCCGTTTGCCTAAGTGTTTTATACGAACTTTTATGGCAGATCAGACTTCCTTGAGCTTTAGCTGCTCTATTTTTTGGAGCTCTGGGAGCGAGAAACCAAGGTTCGAGTTGGCCAGACCCTTTGTGATCCTTGATATCTTCCCATTTAGCTACTTTTTGAATCTGTTGAATTTTTGTTAAATCGATTGTCAATGCTCTGCTTGTAGAAGACAAAGGGTTGATGTAGAAATTACGGCGGCGGTATCCCACCGGCTAAAATAGTTTATTAATAATCTTGCGGCTGGTAGTGTGCCGCCGATTTATTGCATAATTGGAAATATTGAGCGGTGCGGTATGCTAGCGACTTATTACCTGATTGGAAATATTGCGCG